GTGACTAACATCTTTGGAGTGGCCAGGGTCAGAAGCAGTGAAATTCACATTCTCGTCGAGCTGCCTCAGGTCGACAGTAGAACAAGATTTGTTTTTGGTTCTTACTTTGTCTTGTTCTCATTTTTTTTTTTTTTTTTTTGCTCTTTTTTTTTTTAAGCCAACGGCACGTGGCGTTCTCAAACGGTCACCCATCCAAGTTTGCACCACGCCCGATGCTGCTTAACTTCGGTGATCGTACGGGAACCGGTGTGACCAGCACGGTATGGCCGTTGACTTTATTATTATTATTATTATTATTATTATTATTATTATTATTATTATTATTATTATTATTATTATTATTATTATTGTTTCATTTTTAATCATAAGAATTTTATCTGTTAGAGTTTTTAAGTATTTGTTCCAGGTTTCTACCTGCCGATCCCTAAGGAATAAATGCCTGAGTATCAGTGATGCTGCTGCTTCCCTGATGAATAGGTTTCGTCTAGTTATAACCTACGATATCACAACAAGTCTTATGAGTCTCACTAAGACCACCCTATTCGATGGAAACGAGTTATCTCCTGTACTGGGCTCCAGTGACTGATATCTGTGGAGTGGCCAGGAACAGGAGAACATTTACAACCTTAGAGCTGACTAAGGTTTACGATAGAACAAGATTTGCCTTTATCTTGTTCTCATTTTGCTTTATTACAATTAAAAATCAGTTATCATAAAACTTTTTCCTCATAACGAATTCAATACTTAATTTTCCTATTATTTCCCCCTTTCATAATTTCCCCTCATGCATTTCATCCTTAATTTATGCACACAGTATACAAATATTACAATTTTGTGCCTATAAACTTAAGTAATATAATATTAAGGCAGTTCAAAATTTTTTTATCTTAAAATTTTACACTAAAAATATGGGAAAATACATTAAGATGTATCAGGCAAACATAAGATCAAAGGAGGTGTGGATATTTATATTCATTTGATGCCTTAAATTAACCAATCACGTGTATTTTTGATACTTTTAATCGCAAAATACGCTAAAATATATCAGCCAATCACGAGTGAGAATGGAGGTGTGGTTTTTATACCATAAATTAACCAATCACGAGTATTTTTGATACTTTTAATCGCAAAATACTCTAAAATGTATCAACCAATCACGAGTGAAAATGGAGGCGTAAAAAAAGATACAAAATTTAAAATTTTTCACAACAATTTTGAATGGTAAAATACGTTAAGATGTATCAGAAAAACATAAGGAAAAGGAGGTGTAAAATAAAATACGAAAAACGGAGTATTTTTGATGCGAAAATTCGTTAAGATGTATCAGAAAAACATAAGAATGAAGAGGTTTAGTTTTTTTTACAAATCACGAGTGAAAATGGAGGTATGATTTTTATACCTTAAATTAACCAATCACGAGTATTTTTGGTACTTTTAATCGCAAAATACGTTGAAATGTATCAACCAATCATAAGAAAAAGAAGGTGTACATTTAAAATCAGGTGTACGGAGATTTTATATTTAATAAATCAATAAATAAATAAAAAATTGATTTTTAATACATTTATTTATTAGAAAGTTTAGGTTATAAATACATTACAATTTATAATATATGAAATTTTTTTTCTTTTATTTTTTTTTAATGCGTAATATTTATTATTCATATTTAAGAAAAAAAAATCAGTAAATTAATAAAATAAATTTTCAGGAAAAATTATTTGCTTCGGTCGATCGAATTACAATGGCATGGCTCCCAGTGCTCCCACGATGACCGGAATAGTTTCTGTTTTCGTTCTCCACAATCTGGCTTCTGTCTGCTTCTTTGGCTGTCTCGTGTTTTTTTCTACCGGCACGGATACTTCAATCAGTTTACACCACTTTTCCGTATTATACCTCAGGATGACATCCGGTTTGTTGCCCGACGGCTAGAGTTTATGATATACTGATGTGAGAATTACGAATGCATTTTTTTAATAAATTTATTTATTGTTTTTTAAATCGTTGCACACTTTCCCCCTCACTCTTTTTGTGTTAACTCGAAACCCCTCTACTCCCCTACCCCCCCAAAAAAAAAATTCAAAAAAACGATGGAAAAAAATTTAATTTAATTTGGTTAGAGACGCAATGAATTTTTCATTTTTTTATTTTATATATAAATTTAATATTATTATTATTATCTTTTCGTTTCAACTTTTCCAGGATAAAACTTGGAGAAAATAGAATTTTTTAAATATTTGAGGAGAAGGAAGAGGAAGAAATCGGGAAAATTTTTAACGAAATAAAGAATTTCAATAAGATTTATCCTCAATATGAAAATAATTATACGAATTTAAAATTTATGAACCTGGAATTTCCAAAAAACCTCCCTTATCAGTCGATATCAATTTTTTATTCTACAAAAAAAACCTTTGTTCCATTCCGAACGATAATGATAATAATAATAACTTCCGAAAAAAAAATTTTTTTCTCCAGATAAAAAAAAAAGAAATTTATAAGACGATTTAGAACGTTTTTTTTTTTGTTTCCTTTCCATTGTTTTATTTTTATTTTATTTTCGTGACCGAGACTACAAGTTGTTCATTTACGAACGGTTACGAACGCTTTTTTCCAACAACAACCGAACGGTTATTTTAAATTTTTCAATAATCATCTATATATACAACATACATCGATTTTTAATAGTTTTTATTTACCCCGAAAATTCTTTTCCAGAGAACAGAAAAAATAAAAATAAAAACATTTTTGGATAATAACGAACGTTCCGACAAAAAAAAAAAAACGTTCGCACGTGCCTCACATTTTTATATAGATATTCTTATTATTATTTTTCGTAAAATGAATTTATATAAATGATTATACAAACGTAAAAAAACCGTTCGGTTAAAAAAAAATTTTTTTTTTCCGAAGGGAAAAATCATTTGAACCTTTAAGGTTGATGACAATAAAAAAGTTTTGGAAATGATAAGAAGACGCAGACGTCGCGATTTGTTTTTTTTTTTTTTTTATTATGTTTAAGGGAATTTTGAAAATTTTTCTATTCATTTGTTTGCCCGACAAACAACAACAACAAACAATTGAAATTATTTAAAAATTATGTTTGATGATATGTTATCACAAAAAAAAATTTTAAATAATTTTAATAAATCCTTCTCCTTCTCTTCCTTCTCTTTCTCCTTCTCCTCCTTCTCTTTCTCCTTCTTCTCCTTCTCTTTCTCCTTCTCCTCCTTCTCTTTCTCCTTCTCCTCCTTCTCTTTCTCCTTCGTCTCCTTTTCTTTCTCCTTCTTCTCCTTCTCTTTCTCCTTTTCCTCCTTCTCCTCCTTCTCTTTCCCCTCCTTCTCTTTCTCCTTCTCCTCCTTCTCTTTCTCCTTCTTCTCCTTCTCTTTCTCATCCTTCTTCTCCTTGTCTTTCTCCTTCTCCTCCTCTTTCTCCTTCTTTTCCTTCTCTTTCTCCTTCTCCTCCTTCTCCTCCTTCTCTTTCTCCTCCTACTTCCTCTCCTTCTCTTCCTTCTCCTGTAGTTGTTGTTGTTGTCGTTGTTGACGTTTTTTTGTTGTTGTTATTGTTTTTGTTTACGTTTTTCGGTTTTTTTTTTTTTTTACATTTTTGGTT